CTAGAGCAGGGGTCCTCCACGCCGGCTGCAGGCCACATCCGGCTCGCAGAGCCACATCATCCAGCCCACGGGGGTCCAAAAATTTAGTGGTGGCGGAGCCGTACCGCCACTCTGCTGCTGCCCAGCCTCCAGACCCATGGGGAGACAACCCGGGATCCAGTCCGGGGGGGGACGGGGACAGTGCTGAGCCTCGGGGCCTGATCCAGCCTGCAAGGCTGAGCTCCACTGCTCTAGATAAATGCACGTCAGGGCCACAGCCTCAGCCGGCTGGAGAGGCGGTGCTCGGGCTGGCGGGTGCTCTGGACGAGCGCGCATGGAGCTGCTCGTTCTAGATCATCTGCAGCCTTCCAGACCCGTTCTAGACCCCTCACCGTTGGTCCAGGGCCGGGTGCCCCCCGCGGCCTGCTCCCATGGGCAGCGGGTCCCTTTCCGCGCGGTGCTTCATGACCCCTTGATCTCCAGGTGCCCAGCGGGGAACGGGACCTGCCGCCCCTCCTAGACGCCTCCGCCACCCTGCCCAGGGCAGCAGGTAACTCGCTTCCCCAGCAATGCAGCCGCTGCCCCAGCCCACGGCTCCAACGCCCAGCCTCACTGCCTGGCCCAGGCACGCCCGCTCCACGCCCCCCACGCCTCCTCCACGGCTCCGCTGGCCAGCACACGCACCGCCCCGAGCCCCCGACGGCCCCCGCTGACCCCCGTCTCTCTGCCGCTCAGGTCTTCCTGGAGATCGAGCCGCTGGTCCTGTCCTGCCTCAACGGCTACAACGTCTGCATCTTCGCCTACGGGCAGACGGGCTCCGGCAAGACCTACACCATGGAGGTAGGAGGCAGTGGGGTGCTCTGGGCCTGGCCCCAGGGAGCGGGGGGTGCCCTGTGCACCCCTCTGGGGGGTCAGAGCCAGGGGATGGAGCCACGGCTGGTTGCAGAGCTGGGCACCCCATCCCCTTTCCTGAGCCCCTCTCCCCATGGCAGGGCGTCCCCGATGACCCTGGGATCAACCAGCGGGCACTGGAGGTGCTGTACCGGGAGATGGAGGCCAAGCAGGGGCTGTGCAAGTACGCCGTGAGCCTTAGCCTGGTGGAGATCTACAACGAGGTCATCCGGTAAGGGTGGGGGGGACCCCCAGCTGGAAGTTGGGGGGTGCCCCCTCCACCCTGGGGCCCACTCAGTGTGAGATGCAGCCGCCGGGCCCCAAGCCCTGGCACTGGGAAGCAGCAGGGGTGCAGCGAGGCTGGGTTTGGAGAGGAGGATGGGACCCGGTGCCTGGACGTTTAGGTTGGAGGTCAGGGAGCACTGAGCCTGGGGTCTCTGCAGTGCCACGACCACCCTGGCAGCAGCAGGACGTTGGCGGCCGTGGCCCTGTGTACCCCAGGGGCAGGGGCAATGCCTGGGGCTGTTGGGGGCAACTGTTGTGTGGCTTCGAGGTTAGAGACGGGGTTTGGACGGGGCTGATCCTGCCTCAGGGTGGACTGGGACTGGGTGTGACCCCCGCGACTCTGTGGTTCTCGGGTGAGGGTGAGGGTGAGGGCTGTGGGTGCAGCTGCAGGGAGCCACAGGGTGCTCTGCCACAGGGGTTTTGGGGGTCGCTGGGGGCTCCTGTACTCAGCTCTGACCCCAGTGTCACACCAGGCTGCAGCTGACGGATCCCCCTGCCCAGGTGCCTCCTTCCGGTCGGGTTCAGGAGGACCACAGCCGGTCCCGGGGGCCGTCCGCGGACCG